AAGAACCAAATATATCCCTTTTAAGAATTTTTAGGTGTGCAATATATGTCCCTATTGTACCACCTTAACGGACAAAAATGGGTCCTCAAAGAAGGTTGGGAATATATGTTGGTTATGAGTCAGTCTCTATTATAAGATATCTTGAACCATTAACATGTGATGTTTTCACAGCACGCCTAGTAGATTGTCAATTTGATGAGGCAAATTTCCCATCATTAGGTGGAGAAAAGAAGATCATGGAAAACGATGTGTCATGGCATGAACCTTCTTTATCATATCCTGACCCTCGTACAAGGCAATGTGATATAGAAGTTCAAAAGATAATGCATTTCCAAGAAATGGCAAATCAATTACCTGATGCATTTACTGACACAAAAGGGTGACTAAATCATATATACTTGCTGTCAATGTTCAAACTCGAATTGACATTCCACATGGACAATCTGATGATAAAGTCACTCAAGAGTCTAAAACACGCCTGAAGTGTGGAAGACCATTTGGTTCTAAGGATAAGAACCCACAAAAAAGAAGAGGAGCAGAAAATGCACTAGATCATGAGGAAAGTGTTCCTGGAGAAACATGAATTATTCAAATTCCCCCATGAAAAGAGGATGATGCACAAAGTTATGGTCAGCCAAATAGAATATGTGACCAAAATGAAACTGACAGTATAAATGCAATATTTTCTTATTCAGATGCATGTGATATTATGAATGATGATCCTGAACCACAATCTGTCATTGAATGTCAAAGAAGAAATGATTGGGCTAAATGGAAGGAAGCTATGCAAGTTGAATTAAATTCTCTTAACAAGAGAAAGGTTTTTGGGAACATTATCCTCACACCTGAAGTTGTGAAACCATTAGGATATAGATGGATCTTCGTACGAAAAAGAAATGAGAAAGACAAAATTGTAAGATACAAGGCCAGGCTTGTTGCTCAAGGTTTCTCTCAAAGACCTGGAATTGATTATGAAGAAACTTATTCACCAGTAATGGATGCAACCACTTTTAGATATTTAATCAGCTTGGCAGTATCTAAAAATTTAGAGATGCGTCTTATGGATGTTGTTACAACTTACCTGTACGGATCACTTGATAGTGATATCTATATGAAAATCCCTGAAGGATTTAAAATGCCTGAAGTGTTAAGTACAAAACCCAAAGAAATGTATTCTATAAATTTACAAAGATCTTAATTTGTATGGTTTAAAGCAATCTGGGCGCATGTGGTACAATCGTTTAAGCGATTATTTGACAAGTAAAGGTTATAAAAATAACACTATTTGTCCATGTGTATTTATTAAGAAAATAACATTTGGATATGTGATCATAGCAGTCTATGTTGATGATCTGAACATCATTGGAACGAATAAAGAAATCCTTGAAGTGATTGAACTTTTAAACAAAGAATTTGAAATGAAAGATCTTGGAAAAACCAAATATTGTCTTGGTTTACAGATTGAGCATATGCCTAACGGAATACTTGTGCATCAGTCAAATTACACAGATAGAGTCTTGAAACGTTTCAATATGGACAATGCAAATCCTTTAAGCACTCTAATGGTTGTTAGATCATTAAATATTGACAAGGATCCATTTCGTCCATGCGAAGAAAATGAAGAAGTCCTTGGTTCAGAAGTGCCATATCTAACTGCAATTGGAGGTCTTATGTATCTTACCAATTGTACTAGACCTGACATTTCTTTCGCAGTAAACTTGCTAGCAAGATTTAGTGATCAGCCCCAACAAAAAGACATTGGAATGGAATCAAACATATTTTTCGATACCTTCGAGGAACTGGTGATTTAGGGTTATTTTACCCTAACGATTCAAAACAAGGCTTGATTGGTTATGCAGATGCAGGTTATTTGTCCGATCCTCATAAAGCTAGATCTCAAACTGGATACGTATTCATGAATGGAGGTACTACAATTTCCTGGCATTCTCAAAAGCAAACACTTGTTGCCACATCCTCAAATCATGCTGAAGTAATTACACTAACTGAAGCTAGTAGAGAATGTACATGGTTAAGATCAATGATACAACTAGTTTTAACTTCATGTGGACTTGAAAAGGATATATGTCCAACTTTAATATATGAAGATAACTCAGCATGTGTCACTCAAATGAAAGAAGGATATATCAAGAGCGACAGGACAAAACATATACCTCCAAAGTTTTTTGAGTACACTCAAGAGCTTAAAAAGAACCATCAAGCTGAAATCAAATATGTTCAATCCAGTAACAATGCAACAGACCTTTTTACGAAGGCACTTCCTACTGCAATATTCAGGAAACATGCCCATGGCATCGGAATGTGACATGTGCATAGAATATAATGTGACAAATGTCTAAATAAGGGGGAGTAAACTATACACTGCACTCTTTTTCCCTTCGCTAAAGTTTTTTCCCACTGGGTTTTCTTTAGCAAGGCTTTTAATGAGGCAGTACTTCAAGGTTGAACTCTAATTTGAAATGATGTCATCCAAGGGGGGAGTGTTGTAAATAATTGAATGACAACATTTCCTAATGTCAAATGTGTAAGAGTTATTTTCAACTCTTATGATAAATATGTCAAATATGTGTAAGAACTCATTAATTATGTCTAGTGATTTAACTTGTATAAATAGCACTATCACATATGTAAAAGATACACCAATTTGAATACTTTATATAAGTTATCAAATTCTCTCCAAATCTCCTTTCTTCTTTCTTAAAGGTTCTTAGTTTAGTTTTACTAATCTTCTTTTTAATTACATCAAATTTATAATATATATATATATATATATATATATATATATATATATAATGGGCTAAATATGGTCGCATATTTAATTAATAGTGACATTGATTGTGGTGTTGTGTGACTGTCTGTCTATAAATAATGTTGATCGTGGGTTACTTTCAAAGAGTGGGTTGATAATAAGTTATCTGAAAGTTTTGACCCTGTTGGTGCTGTGCCAAGTAAATAAGTAGATAATGTTGATTGTGGATTATTCTCGAAGATAAGGATGCATAATGAATTGCCCGAAAGTTTAGACCCAGCTGGAGCATGTCGATTCGAGGAGGTTAGATGCCGATTTCTGAGAAACATGGTACCAACGAACTTGACATAAATAAATCAGAATATACAGCTTCATTTTGGGGAATAACTTGTACAAGAACCCAAGTAAAGAGCAGGGCCGGTCCAAACGTCTCGCAGGCCTAAGGCGAAAAGAGAAAAATGGGCCTCTAGAATAATAATTTAATTTAATTTAAAAATAAATACATCGTTACAAAGTCCACAAAAATCACTATTAATATTAGAAACATAAATATGACCACAACATTACCTAAAAGAGAAATTAATATCATTTTAATTCAAATTAGTTCTCCTTCATTCAAACTAGAAGAACTCATTGGTTTGAAAAAATTATGCATAGATCCTTTATAAGTTTGATTGAAGGCATCAAAAAAATTTCGTTTCTTCCTTTTCTATTGTAGATTGTAAATAGTTAAACACTATCTACTTATGGGAAAATATTACATCTTTGGTATATGATTTATGCCTCAAAGCTGTAGAAGCCTAATATGATATTCAATTTAAATCAAGGTGCAACTGCAAATTAAAATTAGAAACAAACAATCAAACATCTGAAAATTAGAACTGGATTTAAAGTTTTGAATCCTGAATCATATATCAACAAAAAATATTACATTCTTAAGTAAAAAATCTAAAATGTAGGTAGAAGATATAAAATCACGTCTCGAGAAATTTGAGAACATCCAAAACCCGAAAAAAAGAATATAAGCTTTCAACATTTGATTAAATACTAGGACTAGGAACGTGAATACAAAATCAAATAAAAAACAACACTAAAACATCAGAAAAATTAGAATTTGATTTAAAATTTTGAGTTCTGAATCAGATATCTACAAAAAAAAAAATTACATTGTTAAGTAAAAAAAATGAAACGTAGGTAAAAGTTAGAAAGAATTCACAGTCCAATCTCAAGCAATCTGAGACACAAATGCACAAACAAAATCAAAAAATAAACAAACAAATAAATAATAAATATAAGAAACATGAATAAGAAACCAAATCAGAAACTAATAATAGTTGAAAAAGAAAAGAATCATAGGAAACAAAACAAACAATAAAAATCTATAGCCAACTTTATGGTTTTTATCTCATTCGTCGAGTGCTTTGCAAATTTGCATTCACTCGACATAACTGATTATAATCTGAAGATTGGTCATAATTGATTATGAATCATTATTTTGATTCGGATTCACGAGGCAACGAATAGGATTCACGAGGTGTCGATTTGATTAATTGATTCCTACCAGATGTAGATTCCTGAAAGATGTCCTAAACAACAGTATTTGTTTAACGTTACTTCAAAATGTGTTCCAGAGTCTAGATAAAAAGAGATTATTTTATTGAGCTAAAGTTATGTTAATTTGGTAATTGGGCCCTTAGAAGACATATACATAAAATTTATTTATTATATATGTATATATATTATATATTTCAGAAATTTTGGGCCCCTAAGAGTCGTAGGCCCGGGGTGGTCGCCCGGGTTGCCCACCGTCAGGACCGGCCCTGGTAAAGAGTAAATTATATTGAGAAGTTCAATCATTGCTAAACTATATGCATAGTTGCTTGGAAAAATCGTATATTTCCATGAGGAAATAGAGAGTAGCACAGACACATAATGAAAGAAGATGAGAAGATGGAAAGTTGCACATCAACTATAATTTGACCTTGCAAGTCAAAAATGCATTTGATCCCGATCGACATGGAGAACAAATGAACAATCTTGATGATTTGCTTATTGGACGTTGATGTTGACATGGAAAACATCAGTTCATTAGCTTCATAATTTCTGGGCAACCAAAAGGTACCTAGAGTACAAGGGTTGCACCACGTGTTCACATGGTGCAACTCTATCATGAACGACATCAATTGCTTCACATTGAATTATGCATTTGATTATCAACAACCAGGTGACGTGCAGTATTGAATGAAATGTCTGTTTTCCGTATTAAATGCTAGATAAGAACTTGCAAAAAATAATAGCCAAAATTTTGTATATAAGGCCATGTGTGATCGGCCATATTTTACATAACAACTCCTCAACCATCTCTTCTATATATGGTTGAATTGAAGGGTTGTGGCATTAAATACATAAGAGATCGATGGCTCTATCTGGAAAGTTAATTGGTTATGTAGAGATCAGTAAGAAGGGAGATGTATTCCATGATCTCTTCAGGCACAACCCCCATGAGATAGTTGCAATAGCCCCTAATAAGGTTCATGACTGTGAACTGCATGATGGAGAAAGGGGAGCCGTTGGATCTATCATCTCTTGGCACTACACTCATGGTATTTCATACACCAAATCCTAGTTCTGGTTATTTCATTGAAATTGATAGTACATGCATCATGAATCATTAGTTCAAAACTATATATGACGTATATACTGACTAACGATAATTTATTTTGCATTGATCTCTGCATGAAAAATACTAAGAGGGAAAAAGAAGGATTTGTAAACAGATAATTGAAGCAGTGAATGAGGAAAACCACATGGCTGTGTTTAAGGTAATCGGAGGAGATTTGGTGGAGGAGCTATACAAGAGCTTTACAATCATATTGCATGTTGAACAAAAGGGTGATGGACAGGTGGCTACTTGGACCTTTGAGTTTGAGAAGCCTAATGTGAGTGTACCATATCCAACTTCTATGATGGACTACCTTTGTGATCTAATAATTAACGAGGGAGATTCTTGTGAGTGTAAAAATATATATCCCTCCTTAATTATTAGATCCCTCCTTAATTATGATGGACTACCTTTGTGACCTAATGTGAGTGTACCATATCCAACTTCTATGATGGACTACCTTTGTCAAGGATTTGGATGCCCATGGCAGCACTAATAATTAAGTACTTCTGAAACTTCTACTTCTACTTCTACATTAATTAATAAAAGAAGGAAATTAATGGAGGGAGGTTCTCTTTTTAGTCTCTGAATGCATGTATGTGTGTTTCTTCATTTGAATGAAAGAATAAATTACTACGTACGTATACGTAGATGGTGAATAAGGAGAGAAACATGCCCGGCGGTGTAGTATTATATGCAAGAATCTCTTTGAAGTATTGTGATATTATTTATGTATCAGTATTCTCGTTTTCCCACATATTTGTGTTGTGACTTGTGAGAGACTGTCTTTGGATTTCCAGTTAAAACAAATTATTCATTAATTTGTCTATATATGATCAATCTACACAAATAATATTAGAGAATATAGCAATAATAAATTAACATACTAAAATAGCCTTAAGCTCATAAGAAACCAGTAAGTTGCAATATATAGATTTAAGTCTTTAACTGGCATTTCGATTTAATTTAACCGTTTAACATTATATTTAAATTAAAAAACTAAGAGTTTTATACATATTATTAATTTGTGATTTTAAAATGATAATGATTTAATAATTATTAGAAAGAAATTGAAAAATAATGAGAGTTTCAAATAAATATATATATATATATATATATATATATATATATATATATATATATATATATATATATATATATATATATATAATTGTGGTAACAAAAGAAATCTATAAAAAAATCTTTATATATTGGCTCTATTGACAAATAAATAATTCATGATTTTTTTTCTTGCAATTTAATCATTTGAACCGTAAACATCTAGCACATTTTTCTTTGTGGCAGGAATGTATAATATGCTGGGATTGTGGTGACATTATATATTTAAGGTTATAGATAATAAATATAATTATTATGAAAATTGCAACCTTAAAAACAAGAAAAAGTGGTTACGTTATTGTGTTACATGTTTAAGTGTTTTCTTAAAAATATTAAGTAAGTTTATCAAACTATTAATGTTGTGTAAAGCAACCAAAAAATTGTATTTAAAGCCAACGTTGTTGGCATATTTTCCATAAACACTACAAGAAATTAGAGTATTACCGACGACGGACGTCGCCGCTAAAGGTCGATAATGTCGCCGCTAATACCTTTAGCGGCGAAAGGGTCGTTGCTATTGCTTCGTCGCTAATACTTCTTTGATCGCCGCTATTGCCTTCTGTCGCCACTAAAGACGCATCGCTGCTAATACTATCTGTCGCCACTAAAGGTGTCGCGCTATTTATATGTATTTGTATACATACAAATACACATACATACATAATACACATACAAAATACCCATATACATACAAAAACACATACACATACACATACATAATTTACATACAAAATACACATATACATATAAATGATCATACAAAAACACACACACACACACATATATATATATATATATATATACACACACACATAAAAATACACTCAAAATACACATATACATACAAATGCAAATACAAATACATATCCACATCTACAAACAAAATACACATCTAAAATATCAAATTTTCATCATGAACAGTGGTGGTGGCGGTATACTCCGGCAAGAAGGTGGGAAATGGAGAGGAAGAGGGAAAACACAGAAGTTGATCAGGGAAGAAAGTGAAGATGCGGATCGCCAACATAAGCCTTTAGCGGCGACACCTTTAGCGGCGACAGACACTTTTAGCGGCGACAAAAAACGCGTTTGTTTGATGTCGCTGCTAAAAGTGACTGTCGCTGCTAAAGGTGTCGCCGCTATTGCCAGTTATTCTTGTAGTGAAACTCATCGAACTCTCTCTTGTAAACAAGTAGCTTAGGGTTGTGACGTTAATTAGAAAGATGGCTTTATGTGGAAAGTTAATTGGTCACGTTAAGGTCAGTAAGAAGGGGGGATATCTGCAACCTATTTAGGTACAATCCGAACGAGATAGCTGTGATATCTCCTGAGAAGGTTCATGGTTGTGATTTGTTGGTGATTTTATATCACTAATATTATTTAAGTGTAATGAGGTTAATTTGTTGATCAATGTCACTTTGACAATTATCGAACAAATTAGTATGGTGCAGAGTGCACATTTGTTTGAAAAGTATACTGCTATTTTGAGGCGAAGCCTCTGAACTGACGGGGGTCCGGGGGCAGCGCCCCTGGGAGCGGGGTCCAAGGGGCGGTAGCCCTGGCGGGGTCTAAGGGGCAGAGCCCCTGGCTGGGGTCGGGCTGTGATCCATTTATAGACCCGGTTTTATGGTAGTTTATGACAGGTAATATGGCCGTTTTTGGACAGGAAGTTATTTAGATATAACTACGATATGGCAGTTTAAGACAGAAAGTTAGTTTTCTGTTATATATGATCAATTTCAGATTCTATTATTGGGTACAGATTCATAACATCTTCTTCATTCTATATTCTAGAAAAATAGTGAGTTTCATCCGATTAGAGATTTTGAGTGTACCCTCAAAATGTTTTAATCTGCAAGTGTTTCACAACTCTCATTAATCCAAGTTTATCTATACCCCGATTTTCTAACATGATCTGCATGATGGTGAAAGGGGAGCCGTTGGATCTGTCATCTCTTGGCACTACACTCATGGTACGTAATAGGGCAAACCCTAATTCTATTCTTCTTTGTTCATTCTTAAATGCATGTTTAATGAGTTTCTCTAGACTCTTGTATCTTTATGGATTGGAAATTGGATAGAACATCGTAACTAGTTGTCTAGTTCAAAACTATAACATATATCACTACCAGAAGGGACCCTTATTTTTTATTCGTTAATAATTACCAAATGAATACCTAATACTCTTATAGTGATTCGTCGTTTGGTAAACATAGTCCACCGACAATTCATCGGTACTTTTATTTCCGATCGTCGGGACTTCGTAGAAATTTCCATGGGTAATAATTACACACGAGGCTTTTTCAACAAAATATTTTGTCAGTAAAACAACTAGTTTCGGATTTCCGACTAAAACCATTGTCATATGATTTTTTTTCTTCTAGTAGTGATATTGACTGACTTATTTCTTGGCATCTCCGCATGATAATAAGAGGGAAAGAAGAAAATTTTCAAAACAGTTAATTGAAGTAGCCAGTGATGAAAACCACATAATTGTGTTTAAGGTAATCGGAGGAGATCTAGTGGATGAGCTATACAAGACCTTTACAATCATACTAAGTGTTAACAAAAAAGGTGATAAAGAGGTGGCTACTTGGACGTTTGAGTTTGAGAAGCCTAATATAAGTGTACCGTATCCAACTTCCATCATGGACTACCTTTGTGACCTGGTCAAGGACTTGGATACCTATAGCAGCACTAAGTAGTAATTATGTATCTTCTACTTAAAGAAGAAAATGGAAGGAAGTTAATTTGTGTCATTCGATTGGAATGTGTTTTTCTCCTATTGAAATAATAAACCACATCGCCTTCGAATAAGGAGTAAGAAATGGGTGGTGCTTGTGGTGTAAACATGAATCTTTTTCTATGTAATGTATTATATGACATCTTTTTTTAAGTAATGTAATATATGACGTATATATGTATAATTATTCTTGTTTCCCAGTGATTTGTGTTGTTAGAAACTATCTTTAGATTAAAACAAATAATTAATTATTTTCTTGTGTGGTAAGTCAACTATGCAGGTTCGGGTATATTTAGGTCATTTATTTTAACAAGTTATAGAATTGGTTTATGTAGTTTGTGAAATATAAGTTAATCCTTTATTTTTCTGGATTTAGTTTCTATGTGTGGTCATCAAAACCTAAAATCAAGAAACACGGATCTTGAAGAAACCATTCACCACCATTCTTTATCACTCGATTTGAATAAAAAATCCTAACGTCAAAATTGATCCAAATAGAAAATGAAGATCAAAATCAAAAGCGGTAGGGTAGAATCAATAGCGGCGGAGTTGAGTGGCAGTTATGTGTGGGAGGATATCAGTGGTGGTTTGGTATGTAGGCTTTCGACAATAAAATCTCTTTCCTAGATCGTAGATTTGAGTACTGAGATCATGTTGAAAAAATTTATGCATGTCGCTTCAGATCTTGCTAAAAAAATTAAACATGCCACTCTAGATCTTGTAAAAAAAACACCCTCCATCACCGCTATCATCATTGTTTCCTTATTCCTCTCCTGCCCCATGTCCAACAAGATTCTAAATCCCCCCCAATTGCAAATCGTCCAACATCGAGTGACCAAAGGTTGTTCTTTTCTTGCTTGTAGGTTCTTTTAGTCCATTGATTGGTTTAGAAAGCACACCGGAATATGAATAGGTGGTAAAGGCTCCTCTAGGTTTGTAACATTTATAAAAATCATGTCAAATTAAAACTTTTAAAAAACATTTCAAAACCAATGCTCATTACAAAACATGTTTTCAAAATATTATAATGTCAGAGTATCCCAAAATCAAATCATAAAATCATGAAAGATGAGGAGCTGTACGATCATGCCTTCGCCTTCCCGCAATCATCAAAAGTACCTTAAACAATATTCGATAAATGTAAGCTTAAAGGTTTAGTGAGTTACCCCCAAAATACCAACACCATACATATATAATCATATCATATAAACAAATACAACATGCATAATGAGCCATCAGTATGACTGGACTGCCTCACAGGCCATCAGTCTATCTGGACCGCTCTCCGAGCCTTCGACATGTCTAGACTACCTCTCAGGGCCTTCAGCCTATCCGGTCAGCTTGTTGGGCCTTCGGCCTGACTATATTTCCTCGTGGGTCTGCAGTCTATCCGGTCCGCCCTGGCTATCTTGGCCTACAGCACAAAGTAGGACCTGCCTCAACCTAATCCCCCAAACCAACAAACATGTGCACTTAAATATCATACGCTAGCTAGCATGTATAGATAATCATACAAATCTAACAAATGATTAACATGGCAACCATCCTATAACCAGGATACAGATCTAACCAATCTTTAACATAGCAACCATCCTATAACCAGGATACCGATCTAACAAATCACTAACATAGCATAATCTTGTAAATTAGGATACTGACCTACCAGGTTACTAAGCATATCACCCATCCTAACTACCATGATGTAAATCAATAAACATATAATGCAATAAACGTGAATACAAATCCGATAAGGGCTGGCATTGGTGCCTTAGACCCCGTTGATACAGTGAGGAGAACTCACCTCACACGTAGCTCGAAGTGATAAAGTCAAACTCCACCAAATACAACTCTAAGTCTAACACCTACATCCATCGATGATGCACTTCCATAAATTCCCAAATGACCAAAATATCCCTAAAAGTCAAACTGGTCAAGCCTTGGTTATAGTCAAAGTCAATGGTCAAAGTCAACCGTCCAGTTGACCCCACTCGTCAAGTGCAGCTAGCAACTCGTCAAGTTCCTTGAGAACTCAGAAAGTCATAAAACCCTAACCCGAATCACCGAGTTTCCAACCAACTCGTCAAGTCCACGCGTGTCCAAAAGTCGGGGAAAACCCTAACTGACTCGTCGAGTCCTCTTACCGACTCGCCGAGTTCATGTAGAGTCAAATACAGGAAACCTTCATCCGAGTCGGCTAAGTGACTCGTCGAGTTCATGCAGTCCTTTACTTATACAAATGTTTTTAAGCCACCCCAAAGCTCCATATTGGAGATCCTGTTGGGTTTTGAGCAATCTAATACTTCCTAAGTGTGCATGCAACCCTAATAAACCTTGGATCTATGTTTGTCTAAATACATGCAAAATAATAATTTTCCAAGGTTAACCTATCTAACATGGCATGGGGAACATTTCAACATAAAAGAGTTAGAAGAGATTACATACCTTTTGGTGAGTTTGGTTCTAAGGAGTTTGAGGGCCAAGCACCAATAGTGTGAATGCCTCAAATGGAATCACAAACACCACAAACTCTTGGAAAACTTTGAGAGAGTATAAATATTGTCTATATATTCCAATGTAATTGTCTTTTAAAAATCAATAAATTTGTTATCTTACAGATTGCACTATGAGAGTTTAGATAGCATTTTTGAGTGGTGTGATGAAACCAACACATCCAATATTTGTTTAGATATCACTTTCCAATATCTGTGCTAATGATTCATTTTGCAATCCAGTTTCACCCAAACCGGTTCGGTTTTAAATTCTTTGTATTATGTGGACATTGTTAATTGATTAATTGTTTCATTTTACAAAGTGGGTTGAGTATGGTCACATATTTAATTAACAGTGACATTGATTGTGGTGTGGTGTGACGTCTATAAATGATGTTGATTGTAGGCTACTTCGAAGAGTGGGCCGATAACAAATTGTTTGAAAGTTCTGATCCTGCTGGGCCATGTAAATCTTTCTATTCTAATAAAAGAGTAGTTTTTAATCTCCTTTTGACATGTGTCACCATATTAAACCTTATAATTAATGCAAATTTTATTTTTCTTTTGCCATGTTTTACCTTATTATGTATTATAATTAATACATACCATTTGTCAACATATTAATTCTCTATTTCAAATTTTAAATTTTAAATTTTTCATTCTAATTACATTAAATTAACAACATTAGAATAAAAATTAAAATAAAATTAATATAAATTATAAAGTGATATAATTTTTTATATTTATTTAAATCAATGATTATAATTTTATATAGCTAAAAAAACCTCTTACTTAATAATATATTTAAAATAAGTTATTAATAATTTTAAATTTTAACTATTAAAGTTTAATTAATTTTATAACCGTGGTTCCTACAGGTTATAAACTAGTAATTAGATAATGTTGATTGTGGATTATTCTCGAAGATTGGAATGAATAATGAATTGCCCGAAATTTTGGACCCAGCTGGAGCATGTTGATTCGAGGAGGTTGGACCAGAGATGCTGAATTATGAGAAATATGGTGCCAACGAACTTTTGACATTAATAAATAAATCAGAATATGCAGCTTCATTTTGGGGAGCAACTTGTTAAAGAACCTAAATAAAGAGTAAATTATATTGAGAAATTCAATCATTGCTAAACTATATGCATAGTTGCTTTGAAAAATCGTATATTTCCATGAGGAAATAGAGAGTAGCACAGACACATAATGAAAGAAGATGAGAAATGGAAAGTTGCACATCAACTATAATTTGACCTTGCAAGTCAAAAATGCATTTGATCCCGATCGACATGGAGAACAAATGAACAATCATGATGCTTAGCTTATTGGACGTTGATCCTGACATGGAAAACATCAGTTCATTAGCTTCATAATTTCTGGGCAACCAAAAGGTAAGTAGAGTACAAGGGTTGCAGCACGTGTTCACGTGGTGCAACTCAATCATGAACGACATCAATTGCTTCACATTGAATTATGCATTTGATTATCAACAACCAGGTGACGTGAGTATTTAATGAAATGTCTGTTTTCCGTATTAAATGCTAGATAAGAACTTGCAAAAAATAATTGCCAAAATATTGTATATAAGGTGGTTGAATTGAAGGGTTGTGGCGTTAAATACATAAGAGATCGATGGCTCTATCTGGAAAGTTAATTGGTTATGCAGAGATCAGTAAGAAGGGAGATGTATTCCACGATCTCTTCAGGCACAACCCCCATGAGATAGTTGCGATAGCCCCTAATAAGGTTCATGACTGTGAACTGCATGATGGTGAAAGGGGAGCCGTTGGATCTATCATCTCTTGACACTACACTCATGGTATTTCATACACCAAATCCTAGTTCTGGTTATTTCATTGATTTGGATATAGTACATAATGCATCATGAATCATTAATTAGTTCAAAACTATATATGACGTATATACTGACTAACGATAATTTATTTTGCATTGATGTCTGCATGAAAAATACTAAGAGGGAAAAAGAAGGATTTGTAAACAGATAATTGAAGCAGTGAATGAGGAAAACCACATGGCTGTGTTTAAGGTAATCGGAGGAGATTTAGTGGAGGAGCTATACAAGAGCTTTACAATCATATTGCATGTTGAACAAAAGGGTGATGGACAGGTGGCTACTTGGACCTTTGAGTTTGAGAAGCCTAATGTGAGTGTACCATATCCAACTTCTATGATGGACTACCTTTGTGATCTGGTCAAGGACTTGGATGCCCATGGCAGCACTAATTAAGTGGTTCTGCAACTTCTACTACTACTTCGACATTAATTAATAAAAGAAGGAAATTAATGGAGGGAGGTTGATCTTTTTAGTCTCTGAATGCATGTATGTGTGTTTCATAATTTGAATGAAAGAATAAATTACTACGTATTTTTTACGTAGATTGTGAATAAGGAGAGAAATTAAACATGCCCGGTGGTGTAGTATTATATACAAGAATCTCTTTGAAGCATTGTGATATTATTTATGTATCCGTATTCTCGTTTTCCCAATAATTTGTTTTGTGAGAGACTGTCTTTGGATTTCCGGTTAAAACAAATTATTCATTATTTGTCTATATATGATCAATCTACACAAATAATATAGAGAAAATGGCAATTATAAATTAACATACTAAAATAGCCTTAAGCTCATAAGAAACCAGTAAGTATTGCAATATAAAAATGCCGACTACAAAAGAAGACTAAACATTATGCAACACGCATGAGACATAACTCACACAAATTAGTATAAATTATTTAACAAGGCATTACACCGCACCATGTTTGATGAAATTGATCTATACTTAGAAAGAAATTGGAAAATATTAGGAGTTCAAATACATGCCACATGAAAGAAAAAATATCATTTTTATAGTATACTATAGGTTTAATTGTTATTTCGATTTAATTTAATTATTTAACATTATATTTAAATTAAACAATAAGTGTTTTATACAAATTATTAATGCGTGATTTTAAATTGATAATGGTTTAATAATTATTAAAAAAAATTAAAAAGTTATGAGAGTTTCAAATATATATGATAAAAGAAAAAACATATATTTTTTATGGTTGTGGAAAAGAAAAAAAAAGGAAATCTTAAAAAAAAATCTCTATATTTTGGCTCTATTGATAAAAAAAATCACTCCTGAATTTTTTCTTGCAATTTAACCATTGAAAACCCATAAAGGTCTCGAGCACTTTCCTTTGTGGCAGGAATGTATAATATGTTCGGATTGTGGTGACATTATATGTTTAAGGTTATAGATAATAAATTATTATGCAAATTGCAACCTTAAAAACAAGAAAAAGTGGTTACGTTATTGTGTTACACGTTTAAGTGTTGTCTTAAAAATATTAAGTAAGTTTATTAAACTATTAATGTTGTGTAAAGCAACAAAAAATTTGTATTTAAAGCCAACGTTGTTGCCACATTTTCCACAAACTCATCAACTCTCTCTTTTAAACAAGTGGCGTAGGATTGTGACATTAATTCCAGAGATGCTATGTGGAAAGCTAATTGGTCATGTTGAGGTCAGTAAGAAAGGGGGTATCTGCAACCTCTTTAGGTACAACCCGAACGAGATAGCTGAGATATATCCTGATAATGTTCATGGATGAGATTTTTCATGATGGTGAAAGGGGGGCCGTTGGATCTATCATCTCTTGGCACTACACTCATGGTACGTAATAAGGCAAACCCTAATTTTGTTCTTCTTTGTTCATTCGTACATGCATGTTTAATGAATTTCTCTAGAATCTGGTGTCATTATGGATTGGCAATTGGATAGAACATCATAACTAGTTATCTAGTTCAAAACTATAACATATATCACTACCAAAAGGGACCTTATATTTTATCAACAAAATAGATTCGTCAACACTTACCAAATGAATACCTAATTCTCATATACTGATTCATCATTTGGAAAACATAGTCCATCAGTAATTTGTCGGTACTTTTCTTTCTGATCGTCGACATTTCATAGAAATTTAAATCGGTAATAATTACACACGAGGCTTTTTCTAACAAAATATTTTGTCAATAAAATGGTTAGTTTCAGATTTTCGACTGAAACCATTTTCATACATGAGTTTTTTTTTTCTTTTAGTAGTGATATTGACTGACATGTTTCTTAGCATCTATGCATGATAATAAGAGGGAAAGAAGAAAATTTCAAAACAGATAATCGAAGTAGTCGATGATGAAAACCACATAATTGTGTTTAAGGTAATCAGAGGAGATGTAGTGGACGAGATATACAAGACCTTTACACTCATACTAAATGTCTGACAAAAAAGGCGATAAAGAGGTCTCTACTTGGACGTTTGAGTTTGAGAAACCATATATAAGTGTACCATATCCAACATCCCTAATGGACTACCTTTATGACTTGGTTAATGAATTGGATACCTATAGCAGCACTAAGTAGTTATGTAACTTCTACTTAAAAAAGAAAATGGAATGAAGTTAGTGTCAGTAGATCTGAATGTGTTTTTCTCCGATTGAAAAAATGTAACGCCCTGTTCCGAATCGATCCTAATTCGAGGAGATGGCCCGAAGAGCAGTCATCATAAGGATGAGGCCTTTATAAAGGTAAGATTTAGGTCTGTTTGGATGTGGGTACTGTAGATATGTGACCCAATAGGTCGGTTTGCACTTTGGAGTTAAAGAGTAAAATAGGAATGTAATGTTTTCAGACTTCTTTTATGAATTATAGATTTTAGTTCGATGTGTTTTAAGTTAAAAGTAATTAGATAGGGTTGTAGAGCTCCTTAATAAATTTCTGTGGATATAAAGAACATCGAAAATGGAGTTATAACGAAGAAGTTATGACCGTTTGAAGTTTGGGTGGTTTTGGGCCAAGCTGAGTACGCTAAACGTACAAAAGGGTGTACGCTGGGTGTACAAATGGAATCCTGAGTACGCTCGGCGTATGCAATCAATGCCTAAACCCTATTTTCATGGTTTAAGTCCTATTTAAGCCCCTTAACTCCCCCAAACCTACTCTTTTCTCAGCCTCCACCCGGCCAACACCCCTTTCATGAAACCTTAACCTTAGATGAGTCTTTTAAGCTAAAAGAAGGTGATTTTGAGAGCTTTGGAGTATGCATGGTGCACCTTGGATAAGAAGGAACTTCTTGTAGAAGTGTTGGTTGTATTGGAGCTTCTAGATTTGGACTTTATTCACCTTGATTTATCTTCTAAAGGTATAAAGTTTGAATCTTGATGATGCATTTGTTAGATCTAGCTAATTTTGGATGTTATGAGCTTTTAGTCATTTTAGTGCATAAAGTTTACTTCTTGAAAGTTTGTGACCTTGTTATGGATAAAGTTGGAAACTTTATCTATCTAAACATCATTGTGATTCAGATCTAAAGGTTGGAGGCTTGGACTTAATGGATTAAGTTGAAAAAATGCACTTTTGGTCCCATTTGATGCTTAAAGGCAAGATGTTAGTGGTTTGGACCATTCTAATGGATAAAGTTGGAAATTTTATGCATTGTGGAGCTTTTAGGATCCTTAAAAATGTCTTCTTGATCCTTTTATACCTTCCATGAGAGTGTCATGATGTCTTAATGGATTGATAAGTTAAGGTTTTAGCTTTTGGATCTTTTCTAGACATGGAAAGTCATAAAGGTGGAAACTTTATAACTTAGAATGATGTTGTGGGACTAAATCTGATTGTTGGATGAAATGACTTAGAAGATTAAGTACTTAATGGAAAAGTACCATTTGGTCGGTACGTCGGGCGTACCTTCGAGTACATTGTGCTTACTTGTATGGGGTCCCGATTCTGGTTGGTAAGTACGCCATGCGTCCGAGCTGAGTACGTTGGGCATACTCAACCTGAAGTTTGACTTGTTGACTTTGACTTCCGTTGATAGTTGACTTTTGACCAAACTAAGATTTTATCTGGTTTTGGTATTTATAGCTCAGGAAGCCGCCAGGATAACAAGTATGGATTTCTTCCGGTAAGCTTTTGCAATCGAGGTGAGTCTCCTCACCATACCAATGGGTTGAAGGCACCAAGGCTAGCCCATTATGTGTTATGTGGTATGCTAGTTGATTATGTGTTATGTGGTTTTCTAGTTGATTATGTGGTACATGATATGCTAGTTGTCTTTGTGATACTTGCATGGAAGACCCTGGGGAGAACCCGTGACACTTGGATGTCAGACCATGTGGGGGTGCCATGGTATTCTAGGTAAACACCATGGGGGTGCCTATGACACTTGGTTGTCAGACCATGTAGGGGTGCCCATGACATTCCAAGTAAAGACTATGGGGGTGTCCATGACACTTGGTTGTCATACCATGTGGGGGTATCCATGGCATTCTAAGTAAGACCATTGGGGGGGGGGGGGGGTGTTGTCACAATTAGCAATTTAGGGTTGCGATTGTGAAGCTTGTACAAAACAATTTCCTCTATGTAACCTTGCTGCCTCAAAATTTTTGAAATTCAAACTACATTGTTATATGAATTCATATGTGCATACATTTAGAACCAATTTGAAATAGCTAAGCCCAAGTTGATCCAATAGCTAAGCCCAATCTATTTTGGGCCTTTGCTTAGAGTTCTCGGCCCAAATACCCTAGGCCGAAAACCTATTTTCTTTGGGCCTTATTGGATCGAAAACCCTTTTATTGGGCCCATTGACGTCCAAAAACCCTACTTACATTCCAAACAGAAAACCCAATAAGAACATAGGGTGTTTTTGGCCACCCTAAAACCGAAAACCCCCTTGGATAGCCACCATGGCCGAAAACCTTGAGAGGCTTCGGTTGGGAGTCAAGACAAACAAATAAAAGAGAAAATAAATTACAATTTGTGGTGACACCTCACCACTTTACCTTTTCTTAACTATGGAACAACCAAGCAAGGTACACAACTACCCATCATACATCCATGAACATCACCTAATGGACCATAATGCAACAATGCCACTTTTCCCTATTCTTTCCTTAAAAATCGGCCGAACCCTCCCACACACACACACCAAAAATCATTTCCACTCACTTCACTCTTAAGAATTCCTCCCATCTCTCTCTCTCTCTCTCTCTCTCTCAAGTTTTTGTGCATGCCATCTTCAAGGGTGTTCTCTTCAAGAAGCTCATAAACTCGGTAAGTTTCTTGTAAACCACTAGTGTTGATACATCTCTAAGTTAAAAACTCCACCTTTACCCACACCATTTCGTGTGTAGTTCTTGGAAACCATAATTTTTGAGAAGCTCCTCAAGTTTTGCAA